TTTTTTTTTAACTCTTGATGAAAGAAAATTTCCCCATCACTGATAGAAAATCTCTCAAGTTATTCAACTACAGAGATCATATACAATAACTGTGGTTCAAACTATGGGACAGGGCAAAATTAATACATTTGGGCAGAATATCAGAATCCAGGAAAATGGGGTGCCAAAGGGCACAAGGAACACACTTTATCTACCAATGCCAGTCACAATCAGTTTTTGCACTCAGAGAATTGCAGGAACTGCTGCCTTTGTGCCCTGCGTGTGCCCTTCCTCAGCACCAGGGGGAAGAAAAAGTCTTTATCATTTTAATGCTGACAGACCCCAGTCATCGGTGGCTGAGATCAAACCTGGGATTTCTGGAGCTTAATGCATGAGCCTCTACTGACTGAGCTAAAAGACACCTCTCTCATAGTCTGTAGCAGGCTCATCAACCTCTAGCTGGTCTAAACCAACACTAGAGGAGGACAGAGTGCCATGCCATTGAGGCATGGATTACACTGTCTTAAAGGGTAATACAACTTGCACAGTCCCCTGCTCATTGGGAAACTTAAGAAGAGATTATGCTATGCTGATTTTCTATGTGAAGAATAAGGCATGAGTTTTTTTTAAACTGTGAGAGTGATTAACCAGCAGAACAAACTACCCAGGGAAGTGCTTGATTCTCCATTTCTTGATGTCTTCACATAAAGATAGATGCCTTTCTACAAGATATGATTTAGTCAAATACAAGTTATTGCACTCCATACCAAAGTAACTGGGTTAAATTCTATAGTCAGATTAGATGATCGAAAGGTCCCTTCTGATCTTAAAAATCTCTGAGCAATGAACCTTTTGACAGCTCTCTGTGGCGTGGTGCAGCTACACACTGTCCCACATGCAGGGATAGGCATAAATGGCACTATCTACTCCGATGCTACTGCCTTACCATAAGTACATTTTCCTCCCCAGGTGGAAAATATGTGAAAGCTATTGTTTATGCTATGCAAGCACCTGTAAACAATCCAATTAATTACCAGCTGGAACATCCAATTATGCACAATAGAGCTGGCTGAGAAAATTTCCATCGTGTGGGAAAAGTACAAGATTTCAAAATTTTGTTTCATTCTGAATCAGAACCAAAAGTCAAAATCTCTGATTTTTTACAAAACAAAATGTTCCTATAATATTGCCCTTCAACTTCATCAAAATATTTCATTTTGATTTTTATTGTTTTGACTATAATATAAAAGTTGAAACAAAGTTGAAACAAAACAATAAAGTTAACATTAAACTTTTCAGCCTTGTTTAAATGAAACATTTTGATCATTTCACCCTGAATTTTTTGACAAAAATCTATACAGTCCCATGAATTTTTTCAATTTAGTCAAACCATCGTTTTCCTAAGGAAAACTATCATTCGAAAAATTTTGACCAGTTCTAATCCACAGTATTTAAAGCCACTGCAGGTTGAATAAATATATTTGAAATTTAAGAGTAGAAATATTTTTAGGTATCCAGGCTCAGTATTAAATTAACTTTTGGGAAGCTGGACACTGTAATATACTGACTAAGAAGAGTGCATTGGAAGGTATGAGTTGATCGTAAAGGGCCATTTCTTCCCAGATTAACACAGATGTGACTCCATCTGAGAGAAGGGAGTCAAACACCCAGTCTTTTGCTAATTTTCATAAAACTTCTGAAAAGACCATTTACATCTTATTGTGTTTTATTTTTATCTGATGGAGTGGCAGTGGGACCTCAAGAAATCAGTATGACACTTTATTTTTTATGCTCTCGTCTGACACAATGCAAAAAAGCAAAGAAGAAAGAGACAAGTGACAGAGCCCTTAATTTATGGCAACAAGTTTACATAGTACACACAAATTAATTCCAGTCACCTCTCAGTCATCAGTTATTTAAAAGATCTCAGGTTGGCATTTGAGGTCTCTCATCCCTCTAGGCACACTAAACTATTGGGCTCTGTTAGGGGAAAGAATTATATTTGTAATCAATACTATGTTTGGCAAATTTGCAGGTAACTTCCAGAAAGTGATTACATTCCAGTGAGGTGAGAGATCTGTTGAGCCACCTTCCAAAACTAACAGATGCAGAGATTTGAAAGAGTTGTGAGTAATAATCTTTTTCTCTCAGTGTACTACTCAGATAATAGTTTAGTAAGATAACAATACTTTGTCCTTACTATTGCCAAATAGCCCTGAGGCATCCTCTTTCAGAGTTTTGTCCTCACAAATCACCTCAGTTTATAAATGATCTGTTAGAAGTGAAGTAGGACGGAAGATGCTACAGCAGGGGTGGTGGACATAGTGTGAAACTGATCAATTACATCATAAAACCTTAAAAGGGATGCAGCTGCATCAGAGCTCCCAGATTCTTGAAATCTGATGGCATAGCTGTAGAGTAGGCAAAGAGGAGATTCTTTATCTCTGCTATAGCATATGAAAAATGTTGGTCAGCATGCTTGTTTCAAGCTGTGGATGGTCTGAATACTGCAGGCCACCTGCCTTCCGTTGCTGAATTAATTAATTTATGTATACATTTATACATATTTATACAAATTTATACATATTTTTCAGAGCAGATTATTCAGATTTAAACTGAAGTATTGGTGCATGTGGCAGAAAAGCAGCATCCTCAGGAGACAAATGCAAGATCTCCCCTGGTTAAGTTCCAGCTACTATCACTCACTGAGCTTCTAAAGGTGTTAAAAAAACTTTGTGCCACGACTTGAGGTTTGGACCTATGTCCTGCCTTGCTGGAGAAGGTGAGTGGGTGAGTACTAAGCCCATTACTAAAGAGACTCTCCCTGCTTCTATTAAGAGGGGTAGGATGCCATTGGTTTTGAAGGAGGCAAGTCTTCACCCTTTTCCCAACAAATTATCATTACACATTAAGAACCTGGACAGTTCTTGAACAGTTTTCATCCTTTCCTTTTGGGGGGGGAGGTGATTGGGAAGCTTGTGGCTAAACAACTCCTTCAGTATCTAGCTGCATCAGAGCTCCTGGACTCTCATCTATTTCTGTACAGCACTGGATTTGATGCAGAAACTTACTGTTGCAATGCCTGACGAACAACTCCTTGCATTGGAAAATAATCAGGTTCCATGCTGATATTATTAGATCTAGCAGCTTTCCTCAATACCATTGATAATAAAGTGTTGTTGACTAATCCATGGCTTCCTGGAGGAGGCGATGGGATTGCTTTGGGATGCCTCTATTCTTTCTTGGTTACGGATCCCAGAGGGCTGTATTAGGCAATTGCTCATCATCCCCAAGGGTACTCTTGTGATGAATGCTGCAGGGTTCCATCTTGCACCCCTGTTGTTCACTGTGTATACTGTTCAGTGTGAGGGGGCTTAGGTTGCATTGTTTTCAGTATGCAGTGGTGGCTAGCTTTATGTCACCATCTCAACTGATCAAGAGTAGGATGCTGGATATCTGTCCCAGTGTTTGCATTTGTGAGTGCCAGAGAAGTGTTGTTGAATGTGTAGTTAGATGTTTGGCTGCATGTGTGTACTCTCTGTGCTATCCCAGCTCTGCACAGATAGCTGGTACAGCAGACCTCGAGTGAATCATCCAGTGACCACAAGATACGTTAAGGTACGAAGGCACCCAGCCAGGTTTATTGTCAATGAAGCATGGTAATAGCACCCAGCAGACTCTAGAGGGACACTAAGATATGTATGCCCATGACAATGAATGAAGTTCCGTGAATGGCGGGACTTTCCATTCTCTCCTAGACTGGACAAAGACAATCCCTCTGAGACTCCATTTTACACATGAATACAAACAAGTTATGCATTACCCCTCTGATGTGCCTCCTGACATGGTTAGCTACCACCCATTACCTTGTACATGTTGGTTTGATCAAAACATCTCTACTCATCACCCTGACCATCATTCTGACCTTATTTTTAGGCGGGTCAGTGTGTTCTTGTTTGGTGTGTGTGTGTGTGTTTATACCATACTCGGTATGGGGTGTTCTGGTACCACGCTTCTGGAATGTGTTTGCACAAATGTTCTGTGCCTAGTATTTCTTAGGTATGTGTATGTTTTTGCCATACCTGCCCTGTTCTTGCCAGGTTCTGTGAACTTGCAAGTAGGTATGTTTTGTTACAGGGCCTGACTTTTGCTTATAGCTTGACTCTTGCTAATTCTACTTTATATTAGCAGGGCCTATTTACTACTTTAGTTCAGGCCTCAGGCCTTATACCAGGCCTCTAATACAAGGGCTTATGTCTGAGGCTCTCTTCCTACCGTAGAATGTTTTATCTGAACAATCTACTCGTTCATTTCTTTGACGAAGAAAGAGAGAACTTTCCAAGCAATGGGATACCATTTACCTTACGTTAAAAAAGCAACCTCCCCCCACACACCTGGGAATTATTATGTGGATAAGGATTACTCTTATGAGGAAGGGTTGCAGGAGCAGGATCTAAAAATGTAACGCTTTTGTTTAGTAGGGAAAAAAGACCTGGATCTATGTGCCAAACACATTAGCTGCAATAACCAACTATGAGACAAAGTTGTATACTCTATCCAAAATTATTGGAGGACATAGCTAGATTGGTGCAGTTGATTGTTAGTAGATAACTAACCCAAAGATATTTTCTTTGACTTTTTGTATTTGCCAGTATTGGTGAGAAATCAGAAGCGTGAAATATTGGCTCCCGCATACAGTAATAGCATCGAAGAACTGACTCAAATGGGGGGAAAATTAATAAGCATCAATTATATTTCCTGTCAATCTGTGGAACATACAGAGTTAATACTGACTGCTTGATTTCTGAACAAACAGTAACTTGTCAGTTCTAATATTCATATTAGTATTCACCTCTTCATGATTAAAATCTTTCACAGTAATATTTGTACATGATACTCCTGTATAAATAAATAAGCACAGTATGCATCATAACAATGTCACAGGAAGGAGTTAATATTTCAGAGGCATTAACCAACACGAAATTTGGGATAGACTTCCTCTTACCTGGTGATTGCTACAAAGGTTCAAGATTACTCTGTCTATTCTCTCTCTCTCTCTCTCTCTCTGTACCCACCTCTGTTTAGTGATATGTATATGTGTGTGTAGATAGATAGAAACACACAGGTGATTTATTTATATACATACTCTGCAAAGAACTAATTAGGGGGAAAGGAATGTGAAAGGAACTGAAAAGGAGGATTGGGGAATCATTAAGCCTGAAAAAAAAAAATCAGTAAATAAAACTCAAAACACCAAAATGCAAGTTATGATAATACCTGAAGAGAGCCAAGGAATTTTTTAAAGACAGAATCTAGGAGGGAATGAAGGCTGGAAGCTATGAAGAGAAACTGGAAGGAACTGCTTTGTGAATTTCTTTATTTCTTCAGCACAACTGTGAGTAATTGTAACAGCCCAAAGGAAAGCAGAGTAAAGTACTTATGATATATGGGGACCGTTTGTTCTGTTTAAGTGACTCAGTGTGTGAAGCATCTGATCTTTAGGCGATAGGAAATGTGTCTTAATTAATTAATGTTCTAATATTTTTAGATATCCTGTTGTGTTCTGGGCATATTGGGGATCTGAATTACTTTTTGTGCTACAGAATATCAGGTTTATAATTGCATAAATTAGTGTTTTGGATTTTTCACTGTGCTTTTTACTTTTTAAATTATGTACTCTCTCAGTAAGTGAGATAAGATTTTAACAAGACTGAAATACATTCTCCAGGCTCCCTCAGAAAGCTCAGGTCCCAACAGCATTTTCTATTTAGATTTTCTATTTTCCCCCCTTTTGCTATTTTATTGTATGTTTGGGAATTTGGGGCTTTTGTAAATTGCCCACAGTTGACAGCCTCTTTAGCAGCAGATTAGTAAATTTTCAGACTTTCACACATTATTACTGTTCTCCATAAATAAGACATCCTGAAGAGTTCTAAGTGTCCAACCTTAGAACCTGCTGAGCACTCTCAGTCCTTCTGACTTCAGTAGGAATTGGGAGCGCCGAGCACCAGACAGCAGCAATGCTGAATCACCATTAGTACTTACACTACTTTGGGACAAACTGCATGCTCAGTTACTCACTTGTGCAATTTCACAATGAGGTTCTACACAGGAAACTGTGGTCAGAATTTTGTGTTTTGAGCTTATCTCTATTAAGTTTTTAGGCATAGAATCACAGACTGGAATGGACCTTGAGAGGTCATTTATTCCAGTCGCATGCACTCATGGCCGGACTAGATGTTATCTAGACCGTTCCTGACAGGTGTTTTCTAAACTGCTCTTAAAAATCTCCAGTGACGGAGATTCCACAGTCTCCCTGGGCAAAGGGTTCCAGTGCTTAACCACCCTGACAGCTAGGAAGTTTTCCTGATGTCCAACCTAAACCACCCTTGCTGCAATTTAAGCCCATTGCTTTCTGTCGTACCCTCAGAGGTTAAGAAAAACAATTTTCTCCTTCTTCCTTGTAACAAGCTTTTATGTACTTGAAAACTGTTACCATGCCCCATCTCAGTCTTATCTTTTCCAGACTAAACAAACCCAAGTTTTATAACCTTTCCTCATAGTTCATGCTTTAATAATTTTTGGTGCTCTCCTCTGGACTTTCTCCAATTTGTCCACATCTTTCCTGAAATATGGTGCCCAGAACTGGACAGAATACTCAAGCTGAGGCACAATCAGCACAGAATAAAGTGGAAGAATTACTTCTCATGTCTTGCTTACAACACTCCTGCTAATACATCCCAGAATGACAACAGTTTTTGTAACAGTGTTACACTGTTGACTCATATTTAGTTTGTGATCCACTATGACCGCCAGATCCCTTTCTGCAGTACTCCTTCCTAGGCAGTCATTTCCCATTTTGTGTGTCCGCAACTGATTGTTCGTTCTGAAATGGAACACTTTGTATTTGTCCTTATTGAATTTCACCCTATTTACTTTAGACCATTTCTCCAGTTTGTCCAGATCATTTTGAGTTTTAATTTTATCCTCCAAAGCACTTGCAACTGCTCCCAACTTGGTATCGTCCACAAACTTTATAAGTGTACTCTCTATGCCATTATCTAAATCATTGATGAAGATATTGAACAGAACTGGACCCAGAACTGATCCTTATGGGACTTCTCTTGATATGCCTTTCCAGCATGAACCACTGATAATTACCCTCTGGGAACAGTTTTCCAACCACTTACGCACCCACCTTATAGTAACTCCATCTAGGTTGTATTTCCCTAATTTGTTTCTGAGAAGGTCATGTGAGACAGTATCAAAAACCTCACTAAAGTCAAGATATACCACATCTACTGCTTCCCCCCTATCCACAAGGTTTGTTACCCGATCAAAGAAAGCTATTAGGTTGGTTTGACATGACTTGTTCTTGACAAATCCATGCTGATTGTTACTTATCACCTTATTATCTTCTAGATGTTTGCAAATTGCTTGCTTAATTATTTGCTCCATTATCTTTCCAGATACTGAAGTTAAGCTGACTTGTCTAATTCTCCGGGTTGTCCTTACTTACCTTTTTTATAAATTGGCACTATATTTGCCCTTTTCCCTCTGGACTCTCTCCCGTAGTCAATGACTTTTCAAAGATAATCACTAATGGCTCAGATATCTCCTCAGCAAGGTCCAGGAAGTATTTCATAAGGCCATTATGACTTGAGGACATCTAACTTGTCTAAGTAATTTCAAATTTGTTCTTTTCCTATTTTAGCCTCTGATCCTAACTCATTTTCACTGGCATTCACTATGTTAGATGTCCAATTGCTTCTAACCTTTCTGGTGAAAATGGAAATAAAAAGGTCATTTAGCACTTCTGCCATTTCCACATTTTCTGTTATTGCTTTTCCCGCTCATTGAGTAATCTGTCCTTGGTCTTCCTCTTGCTTCTGCTGTATTTGTAGAATGTTTTCTTGTTATCCTGTATGCCTCTAGCCAGTTTAATCTCATTTTGTGCTTTGGGCTTTCTAATTTTGTCCCTAAATACTGGTGTTTTTTCTTTATATTCATCCTTTGTAATTTGACCTAGTTTCCACTTTTTGTAGGATTCTTTTTTTGAGTTTCAGATCACTGAAGATCTTCTGGTCAAGCCATGGTAGTCTCTTGCTATACTTCGTATCTTTCCTATGCAGTGGGATAGTTTGCTCTTCCACTCTTAATAATGGGCCCGTACCTACTGTCGTCTGTAGCACCAAGAGCTCTGCTTGCCTGCAAACCTTCAACTTTTTCCTCATGCTCCCTTGCTGAATCAGTCAGCATTGGCTGGCATTCCTGCTGTGATTGCAATTGGGCAAAGTGAATTAAGGTATTAAAGTGAGGGTATATGTATGTTTTTGTGTGTGAATGTTCACACACATTCACTCAAACACACACACAGTTTCTGCAGCTTCTGTGTTGACATCTGCCATTCTTTGCATCTGAGGGAGCATCTGAGGGTTTGCAAACAAGCAGAACTCTGAATTAATTTTTATACAAAGAATTCACTACAAAGGATGAATAACGATTCTCTGTTTTTCATGCTGCATTCTGAGCTGTTTACTTTGGAAAATACTGTTATTTTTAAAAGAATTTTTGTTCTGATGTCAAATTTTGTAGGACTCTTTTTTGAATTTGAGATCATTGAAGATTTCCTGGTTAAGCCATGATCTCTTGCCGTAATTCCTATCTTTCCTATGCAGTCTCTTTGAAAAACTGCCAACTCTCTTGAGTTATTTTTCCCCTTAGATTTGCTTCCTATGGGATTTTACCTACCAACTCCCTGAGTTTGCTAAAGTCTGCCTTCTTGAAATCCATTATCTTTATTGTGCTGTTTTCCCTCCTACCATTCATTAGAATCATGAACTCTTATCATTTCATGATCACTTTTACCCAAGCTGCCTTCCACTTTCAAATTCTCAACCAATTCCTCCCTATTTGTCAAAATCAAATCTAGAACAGCTTCTACCCTATTAGCTTTCTCTAATAGCCTTCTGAAATAAAAAAAAAAAAAAAAACTGTCTCCAATACATTCCAAGAATTTGTTGGATAATCTGTGCCCGGCTGTGTTATTTTCCTAAAGGATGTCTGGATAGTTGAAATCCCCCATCACCACCAAGTCCTGTGCTTTGGATGATTTTGTTAGTTATTTAAAAAAAGGCTCATCCACCTCTTCTTCCTGGTTAGGTGGTCTGTAGTAGACCCCCATCAAGACATCACCCTTTTTTTAACCCTTTTATCCTTTCCCTGAGATTTCAACAAGCATGTATCACATCACAATACATGTTAAAGATACTTTTGTGTGTGTGTGTGCAAATGGTGAGTAAAAAGCAGAATCTCCATTCTTCTTAGCCACAGGGAGACAACACTGTGCAACATGGGAAATGAAGTCTAGCTAGTGAGCAGGTCCGATACAGGAGAATCAGGCCACGAGGGGCAAGGAACTACAATTCCCACGAGGCACTGTGGTGGGTCAAGTGGCTGCAGAGATTAATGTTGTCCTGACCTCAAAAGTTTTGATTTTCCTGGTAGCAAACCATTAAAATCCAAAAAACCCAGGGACAATTTTGACTTAATGAAATTCAACTTTGACAGAAAATAATTTGTTCAAAATCTTTTGACCAGCCACAGCAATGGCATATATATAGTATGTACATCCAAAGTAACATTCAGTGACTATTCAGCTTGCATTATCTGGAGTTTTGAATTGCTTAAAGTTGGGTAGACAGACAGAAGAGAGGATGGGAGGAAGCAAAGAGACCATGTTGAAGGGTGCAGTATAAGAACCTGAACAGAATAGGGGGGGAAAAAAGTGAAACAAACAACAGAAGAATCATTTCTTAGGGTGGATATCAAACTATCATTTTTGAAATTCAGGCTTAGAGAAAGATTCACTGACCTAAAAATGTCCTTGGGTTATTAATCAATAGAGATTATACAGTCTAAAGTGTGACAAGAGGACAGAGAAGGAATTACTATCTTTGTCAGCCATTTACAATCATTTGGTTATAGATTCATAGATTTTTGAGGTCAGAAAACACCACTAGGATTACCTAAAAAGACCTCCTGCATAACACAGGGCATAGAATTTCAAGAAATTCATGGAATTACTATTATCTTTCTTCTTTATAAAAAGAAACCACAATTAATGCTAATATATAAATGTTTTCAGTCAAAACCAATTAGCTGCCAGTTTTCCAGGATCTGAAATGTCTAAACATCTACGATATGCAAGGTCATAGCTGGCTGACAAAAAAGAATTTGCAATTTAAATGTAAGTGTCTTTGCGATCAAATTAGCTAGCACAGACTCCTGCATTCAAACCCATTAAAGTCAATGGAGATCTGTATGAATAGAATAGTTTGTGTTAGGACTGGGGCCATAAGCATATACCCAATTTCAAAATTTTCCACTATCCTT